AGGCAAAATAATGGGGGTATATATATATGTAATAATTTTACATAATTAGGTCATTTTATTAATTACAATTTGCGGGACCTGTCTGACAACCCAGGCCGAAAGTCCAGGGAATTTAATTTGCTAGCACTATATTTAACCCTGTAACTTTCCAAGACACCATAAAACCTGTACAAGGGGCTACTGTTTTACTCGTATGACTTCGCTGAACACAAATATTAGTGTTTCAAAACAGTAAAATTTATTACAAAGATGATATTGTCAGTGAAAGTGAAATATTTTGCATTTTTCACACACAAATTGCACTTACACTGACAATATAATTGTTGTGATACGTTTTACTGTTTTTAAACACTAAAATTTGTGTTCAGCGAGGTCTCCCGAGTATAACAGTACCCCTCATGTACAGGTTTTATTGTGTTTTCAAAATTTACAGAGTCAAATATAAGGCTTGCAGTTTTTTCACATTGAAATTTGCCAGATTGGTTACGTTGTCTTTGAGACCGTATGGTAGCCCAGGAATGGAAATTACCCCCATTATGGCATACCATTTGCAATAGTAGACAACCCAAGGTATTGCAAATGGGGTATGTCCAGTCTTTTTAGTAGACAGTCACAAACACTGGCCAAAATTGGCATCCAATTTAGTTTTTTGCATTTTTAACACATAAACTAATATTAAAACAAAATTTGGCCAGTGTTTGTGGCCAAGTGGCTACGAAAAAAGACTGGACGTACCCCATTTGCGATACCTTGGGTTGTCTACTATTGCAAATGGTATGCCATCATGGGGTTAATTCTCATTCCTGGGCTACCATAGGGTCTCAAAGGCAACCTAACCAATCTGGCGAATTTCAATGTGAAAAAACTAAAAAATGTTACATGCTATATTTGACCCTGTAACTTCCCAAAACACCAAAAAACCTGTACATAGGGGGTACTGTTTTACACATGAAACAAATACGTGTGTTATATTGCAGTAAAAGCAAACAGTATTATGACATTCACAGTTAAAATGTCATGTAGAACTAAAAAAATAAAAAACTCTCTTATTTTCTCCTGTTTTTTTACATTTTATTCATATTAAATTATGTTTCATACCTAAATATTTGATGTTAAATGAAAGCCATGTTTCCCCTTAATAAAATGATATATAATAAGTGTGGGTGCACATAATATGAAAGTGTGAATTACGCCTGAACAGACATATAGCGCAAATTCATGGTTTTGTTTACGTTTTGTTTTGATCACAACATGTACATCTGGCTTTATATTACATATAAATATATATATAATTATATATATTTAATCAATATCATTGTACGTGTATTTTGATATTAATATATATATAAAATTCAATATATATAAATATTAAAATACACTTAGTATATGTGTATGAATGTGTATGTGTATATATATATATATATATATATATATATAGTTAGATCATATATATATAATAAATATATATATATGATCTAAGTATATATAATTTTATTTTAAACTGTTTTAACCTTTTTTTTTTTTTTACATTTTACAGGCAGCAGGGGGAGTACCTATAATTACTGGCACTCCCCCTGCTGGCACTGCTGTGGACGGCTAAGCTGTCCATGTGATCGTGAGGTCCATACAAGGACCTCACGATCACATGGCCCAGGAGGGCCAGAACGACAGCAGGGGGACTCCCTGGGATGCAGGGTGATTCCCCTCAACCGGGTAAGTCAATAGGACGGCGGGGACGTGCTATGCCACATTTAGCACGCCCGCCGTCCTTAAGGTGTTAATAGAAGCATCAATCATTACAGGTTAAAACCAATTGAAATCAAAATCATATCAGTCCTCAGAGTCACAGCTCCAGTTCTGCAGTTTGAAGCTTCACAACTTTACAACAACCTAGAAGTCACTTTGCATTTGCAATCTAGAAGTCCATTTTTGGCATTGCTAAAGGGGCAATCTGAACTGTTTGTCTCTCCCTTGTCCTTCCAATAAAATTGTATGTAGCACTTTTGTGCACGTTTGCATCTAGTTTTTTTTTCTACCATTTTGACAAATGTATGACCTTGCTGTGAGCAACTAAGTGCAAGGTAAGCAGCACAGGTTTAATTGGTTTTGTTTATTTTTCAGTACTGCTGTAATCTTTCCTCTGTCTTTATGTGGCCACAAACTTTGATGAGGAGATTTAATAGAATCATAGTGGAAGTAAGTGATGGGGTCTGTGGAGTAAAGGAGCCTGGTAATGCTAAAAAAGTTTCTAATTGAACCGCTAGAAGTGGTTTTGCAATTTCAACAAGTCCAAGGAATGTTGAACTTAGGCTGCCAAGCTGTATTCCTTTGAGTTGGGAAGTTTGAGACTACCTTGATGTTTAGGTTGATTTAGTTTTGTAAGGCTTAAATGGGCCCTGGTTGCCTTCCAACTGAAATATCTGGAAGGCTTTCGTCTTTTTCTTGAGAGAATGACTGGGAGGACCTGTAATAGCTGACTAACGTGTAGAGATTTACTAATCCCAGAAAGGATATTATCAATTATTTAAATTATCCAGTTTATTAAATATGAAATTAAAGGGACTCTATAGTCACCAGAACTAGTGATGTCCCGAACGGTTCGCCGCGGACTCATCATTGAGTAAACTTTGACCCTGTACCTCACAGTCAGCAGACACATTCCAGCCAATCAGCAGTAGACCCTCCCTCCCAGACCCTCCCACCTCCTGGACAGCTCACTAAGAATGCAACTTCAAAATGGATGTTGTCCAGGAGGTGGGAGGGTCTGCTGCTGATTGGCTGGAATGTGTCTGCTGACTGTGAGGTACAGGGTCAAAGTTTACTCAATGATGAGTCCGCGACGAACCGTTCGGGACATCACTAACCAGAACAAGTACTGCTTAATGTAGTTTTTCTGGTGAGTATAGTATTATCCTGCAGGCAGTTTAATGTAAACACTGCTTTTCAGTGGATAAGTGCCTAAGGACACCTCCAGTAGCAGTCACTCAAAAACAACTAGAGGTTCTTCATGCTTGGTGACACTGAACTTTCCCCATAGAGATGCATTGAGTCTCAATGCTTTCCTATGGGTAGCGTTGGATTGGCTGAGATCATTGAGTTTGATGATCTCAGCCAATGGGGTGGGGCCAGCTGCGATCGAACCCACATTGTGGTGGAAAAAGGTGAGTAAACTCACTTTTTTCACTGGAGGTTAGGGTGGCCTGGGGCCTAAACTGTTATTTAGACCTATATTGTGAGGAATACACATTTGTATTCCTGACATTATAGTGTTCCTTTAAGAATAGGGGGAATATTTAGCTTGTATAGGTGTAATAAAGTTTTTGGAATAGAGATGCCCAAGTATTTGAGAGCTGTAGGTTGCCAAGTTAGTGAAAGCGTTGTGGGGAGAGTGGCAAGAGAGCCTCCCCATATGACGTACAGTGGATTTGTGTCAGTTTGCTGGTAAACTTGTAATGTGTTAAAATATCTGCAGTGATTTGGAAAAGGACGGGTCTGAAGTGAGCATGCTATGGCTTACACGTTTTAAAATCCTTTTTAAATGAGGTCAAGTGACACTGATAAAAGCATTTTCAATATCTAGACTAATGAGAGAAGGGTGTGTTAAGAGGTCCAATCCCTGGCTCACCGTCGGCACTGCTGCTAGTGCTCATCTAACTCCAGTAATAGCGTGTCTACCATGTATTGTTACATTTCCCCCTTTATAATATTGTAAAGAACTGCAGAACAAGTTGGCGCTATATGCCAATAATAATTTTATTAATGACACGGAGGCTCATATATTATGCTTTCTCTTTCTTTATTATTCTCCTCAGCAGCAAAGAATTTAACTTGAAAGAGAATAAAAACGAAATAACGTAAGTAATCTGCCTAGTAACAGGGCAGCCAATCATATACATTCATCAACATTAAGTGTCTTGAACAATCCTCTAACTTCCTCTTTCTTGCTGCTCCTCAGATCAGATAAGTAGATTTTTTCTGTACTCCTCACATTAGACTACATATTCTTATTTATATAACTTTAATTATTTTGTTTTAAAGTATTTTCTGTTTATATGTTACCCCTGTTACAGGGGACTGTATTGCAGTGTCTCCTACACTGCTATATTTTGTTGGTCAGACACTTTTCCCTCTCTCCCTGGCTCTTCCTCCACACAGGGCTGAGAGGGGTTTGACAGGTTGTGAGACCGCACCGCCCGCGCGTTTGCGGTCTCACTAGTGCTCTCCTCCCTCACTGTATTTGCCGGCACCCGCTTAGATATAAACAAGAGGGTGCCAAGCAACTGGGACCGCGAGGATTCCCTTTACTCGCGGCCATTGCTAGGGGGGGGCGGAGCTAATCACCTTCGGCACGCTTCTCTCCTCTGAAGCGCGGGAAGGCTGAACGGCTCCTAGCTTTGACCCTGCTGTCCTCCGTACGCAAGTTTGTATGTCTTTACTCCTATCTGTTAATTTTCTTGGGGTTAATCAATCCCTAAAAAGCTCTCACTGTTAACCCTGAGAGCCCTGGACTCCCTTTCCCCCATCTCTCACTATACAGTTTTTTCTTCACTGTACTTACAGTTACTAATGGCTGTGTGCTAGGAGTTTTATTAGTGCTGGATTAAAGTCACCCTCTCCAAAAATGTTAAGACCATTACTAGGGGGTACTCACCTACCTATTTTACTTATACTGGTGTGAGAAACCAGATATCTGAGTCTCCCTGCCCTAGCACACCTATACAGATTTACTAATAGTTGGCATTCTGCTATAAGTTACCTAAATAAAATGCAGAATCATGGAGAGAGAATTGAAGGCCCTGGCTGCCCTAACATTGAGACTACCTTGACCACCCCTGGCCTAGACCCGGGTATTTTACCCTCTCAAGAATTCCAGTCTGTCCTGGAGTCCACTATGGCCGGCTCGGTCCAGTGAGCCCTAGCTTCGGCCATGGGGACTATGTCCTCCTCAATCTCCCACTCCCTGGCACAAGCACTTCTATTACCCCCAGAGTTGCAGCCAACTATACCGGCCCAAACTGATACAACAGTCCCTGCGGCCTGCAAAGCAAAAGTCAAAACTAAACATACATCGACACTCCCACTGATGCAGGTATCCCCTGCCCTGATTGACCCGCCTATGGCAGTCCCAGATGGCATGTTGCCATTCACAAGAGCCACTGTCCGGGCGCAAGCGGCCAGAAATTGGAAACGGGCACGTGCCCAATACGAAGGGTCAGACTCTGACCAAAGTGAGGAGTTAGGGTCAGATGACCCAGATTATATTTACCATGATATGGCTTCCGACTCGGATAAGGAGTCTAACCCTCTGGAGGAGCCGACGGGAGTGGAGGATGGTGTTCGGCACCCACAGGGATACCCCCTGTTTGACCCGGACAACCTCCGCCATCCTCGCTCGGCGGAGTGGGACCCACCAACGCACATCACGCAATATTTGGCGCTCCGTATGCGTACTCCTCTCTCTAACGAGAGTAGGAATAAACTCCTAGCAGAGTGTCCCAGACCCTCCGTACCAGACCTGGCCTGCAAAACCCCTGTGGTGGACCCCCATATCACCCAGTTCCTCTCAAAATCTGGCTGGAAGCCCAAAAAGGGACTGGAGTTCTTGCTCCACAGCTGCCAGGATAAAATACTAGACACCCTGGGGCCAACCACGAAATTATACGAATTACTTGAATCCGCTAAAGCGGGAGAGACCACCATGGACTTCGATGAAGCCATTATCTGCTTGTTGGGTAATGCCAACACAGCCATCTCGGCGGAACACCGTAAATCTATTTTACTAAAGATTGAACCTAAGCTGATTAATTTGGCAAATAGAGAACCTGGGCCCACAGCTAAAGGAATGTTATTTGGAGAATCCTTTGTCAAAGACATTGGAACTTTTGTAAAAACCTTTACCACTTTAGACAAGGCTCAGGCAAACCTTAAAAGAGTATTTAGCCCTAAGGTTTTACACGGGGCCGGGAGATCTAGGAGCTGTCCACCCGGCCAAGTCTATCGAGGTCCCTCCAGGATCCATAGAGGCTCTTTCGGTGCACCCCACACCTACCAGGAATTCCGGCCGTCACCCTTCTTCCCGTCCAGGGGACGTCCATGGACTACTCGGGGAAACCGTAGACAATCTACGTACAGGCGCCCTTACAGTAAGTACAATATCTCTCCATCCTTCACACCTAAACATAGGGGCAGACTAGCAAGGTTTGCACATGCAAGGGACAAGATCACCAAAGACGCTTGGGTTTTGAGCACAGTCAGAGGTTTTTACCTCAACCTTATATCTACCCCATTCCAAACACATGTCCCAAGAGAACTGACGTTACCCCCAGACCAAACCAAACTCATAACCAAGGAGATTACGGAACTCCACACCAAACAGGCAATCCAAGAGATTCCATACGATACACCGGGTTTTACCAGCAACCTATTTTTAGTAGCCAAAAAAGGAGTGGGTATGCGGCCAGTTATAAACTTAAGGGAACTCAACGCATTCCTCACATATCAACACTTCAAAATGGAAGGCATTCATTGCCTCAGAGATTTATTACAACAAGGAGATTGGATGATCAAATTAGACCTCAAGGACGCGTATCTCACCGTCCCTATTGCGGAGGAACACTGGGACCTCTTGCACTTCACATGGCAAGGGCACGTTGGAGATTTACATGTCTACCCTTCGGGTTGTCCTCAGCACCCTGGTGCTTCACAAAACTCATGAAGCCAGTAGTAGCTTTTCTCAGAGCACGTTCGTATGATCATATATCTAGACGATATTTTAATCATGGCATCCTCACAAGATCAAGTACTGCACCACCTACAATGGACCATGTGGCTACTCGAGGCTCTGGGTTTTATGATAAATTGGGAGAAATCCATAACCAACCCGGTCCAACAGATAGAGTTCCTGGGATTCCAGATCGACGCCATCTCACAATTCCTACTCCTCCCAGAAATGAAATTGAAGGCCATCAAAAAAGAGATCAGACGCACATTACGAGCTCAGTTCCTCTCCATTCGACAACTAGCCCGAGTAATAGGACTACTAGCTTCCTCGATACAAGCCATCTTCCCAGGGCCCCTACATTATCGTGCCCTACAACGGCTAAAAGGCTCTCACCTCAGATCCGGCCATTCATACGAATCCACACTAGTTCTGGATGTGGAATCACAGGAAGAGCTAGTTTGGACATGCAAGGGACAAGATCACCAAAGACGCTTGGGTTTTGAGCACAGTCAGAGGTTTTTACCTCAACCTTATATCTACCCCATTCCAAACACATGTCCCAAGAGAACTGACGTTACCCCCAGACCAAACCAAACTCATAACCAAGGAGATTACGGAACTCCACACCAAACAGGCAATCCAAGAGATTCCATACGATACACCGGGTTTTACCAGCAACCTATTTTTAGTAGCCAAAAAAGGAGTGGGTATGCGGCCAGTTATAAACTTAAGGGAACTCAACGCATTCCTCACATATCAACACTTCAAAATGGAAGGCATTCATTGCCTCAGAGATTTATTACAACAAGGAGATTGGATGATCAAATTAGACCTCAAGGACGCGTATCTCACCGTCTCTATTGCGGAGGAACACTGGGACCTCTTGCACTTCACATGGCAAGGGCACGTTGGAGATTTACATGTCTACCCTTCGGGTTGTCCTCAGCACCCTGGTGCTTCACAAAACTCATGAAGCCAATGGTAGCTTTTCTCAGAGCACGTTCGTATGATCATATATCTAGACGATATTTTAATCATGGCATCCTCACAAGATCAAGTACTGCACCACCTACAATGGACCATGTGGCTACTCGAGGCTCTGGGTTTTATGATAAATTGGGAGAAATCCATAACCAACCCGGTCCAACAGATAGAGTTCCTGGGATTCCAGATCGACGCCATCTCACAATTCCTACTCCTCCCAGAAATGAAATTGAAGGCCAACAAAAAAGAGATCAGACGCACATTACGAGCTCAGTTCCTCTCCATTCGACAACTAGCCCGAGTAATAGGACTACTAGCTTCCTCGATACAAGCCATCTTCCCAGGGCCCCTACATTATTGTGCCCTACAACGGCTAAAAGGCTCTCACCTCAGATCCGGCCATTCATACGAATCCACACTAGTTCTGGATGTGGAATCACGGGAAGAGCTAGTTTGGTGGCTAGACCATATGGAGGCGTGGAACGGCCGAGCAATATTCGGAACCAGCCCGGACCTGATTATAGAATCGGATGCAAGCCCACATGGTTGGGGCGCACGTTGTGGCAACATATCCACCGGTGGCAGATGGTCCATGGAAGAATCCAAACTACACATAAATTGCCTGGAGCTTCTGGCAGGCTCATTCGCCATCCGCAGTCTCTCCCCTACGGTAGGGAGATGTTGTATATTGCTCCGTATGGACAACATCTCGGCAGTGCGCTATATCAATCATCTAGGGGACACCAAATCCAAACAACTAGCAAACCTAGCGAAGGAATTTTGGCAATTTTGCCTTCACAACGAGATTGCGGTGACAGCCGAACACATTCCAGGCTTGGACAATGTACAAGCAGACTGGAATTCCAGATACCTGCGAAATCCTGGAGACTGGCATCTTCTCCGCTCTACCTTTCGCCAGATAAACAAAATATGGGGACCACTAGACATAGACCTCTTTGCATCCAGACTGAACAGTCACCTGCCTCGATACTTCAGCTGGTGACCGGATCCAACAGCCTTGGGGACGGATGCTTTCCTACAGAAGTGGCCGAAGTCTTGGCACTATGCATTCCCCCCTTTCAATCTCATATCCAGTACACTATTGTACCTATGCAAACAGGACTGTTCACTAGTGATAGTGGTTCGACTATGGCACGCTCAACCGTGGTTCCCTCGACAAATAGAAATGGCAATCGACTCTCCACGAATAATACCATCAAGACCAGACTTGCTATTAGACCCGGAGGGGAACCCGCACAACCTAATCGATCAGGGCCTGCTTCAACTCACAGTTTGGTTGATTTCCGGAGTCGTTGGACATTCAAAGACATTCCACAGACGGTTACAAGACTCATGGACAACTCTTGGGCTCCAGGGACCAGAGCGGCCTACAACTCCGCATGGCGAGTGTGGGCTAACTGGTGCATGGAACGGTCCGTGGATCCAGTTTCAGCATCTCTGAAAGAAGTACTAGAGTTTTTGACGTCCCTTTTCGAAGAAGGAAAAGCGTACCGTACCATTAATGTGTACAGGTCGGCGATCTCGGCAGGACACCAAGATCTAAAGGGCTCCCCGATTGGACAACACCCCTTCATTTGTAGACTCCTGAAAGGGATACGCTTTGAGAAACCTCCACAAACCCGCTATTCTTCATTCTGGGATGTCAACATTGTCTTACACTTCCTGGAAGAATGTACGCCAAATGAAGAACTCTCCCTTAAACACCTGTCTTGGAAACTACTTACACTTTTATGCCTACTGTCCTGCAAGAGGATATCGGACGTGAGAGCCTTGGACTGGGACGCATTGTCATTCACCCCAGAGGGAGTATCATTCTCCATATCGAGAAGAACTAAAGGCAATTCAAAATCTGTCTCTTACCCGAGATATCCCGGACACTCTTCATTATGCCCGGTTAGATGCCTTCGGTCGTACCTAGAACGTACTCAGAAATTACGATCACCCGAGTCAAGTCAACTATTCATATCTTTTCGAACCCCCTTTGTACCTGTATCCACACCCACGTTGGTTCGTTGGGTCAAGAACTTGTTAGAACTTGTCAGGAATTGACACCTCGAAATTCTCTGCACATTCGGTGAGAGGCGCAATGGCATCCAAAGCCTCAAAGATTGGTTGTCGCCTCGAGGACATATTAAAGGCGGCAGATTGGTCACATGTGTCGACGTTCTGAGAATTCTATTTTCGCCCAATTGAACATATCTCACTTCAAGTAGTGGCCAAGCTTTGAACTAGCATAATATGAGCCTCCGTGTCATTAATAAAATTCCAAGATTTTACTAGTAACATGACGTAAAGTCATGATTTTATTAGTGACACGGAGGCGAGTATTATCCCCACCCACCCACCCGGTGGGCGTGGCACAGCCAATAAGGAGAGTCATAAGGCTCTCGCAAGAGGTAAGTAATAGGGATTTTTTCTAGGACATATAAAACATCCATTTTTATGTACACATATAAACTTCTATAACATATTATTATATCAGATATAAGGAACATAAGGAATAAGGATAACATACAGTTCCAAAGTTTGGATTTTACTGTATACTCTCTTTGTTTCCACAGCGTAACAGACTGAAAACTAACTAGGAAGAACGTCGGAAATTATGGGA